CATTCATATACATTATGCAGACTTTCAACATGCTCATTTATAATTGCAATTGCATACTGCTGAAGTCGTTTTGGGGGGCAGTCGTATAATATACATTTAGGTCTGACATTTTCCACGGTGGAACAGACCGTCTGCTCTGTTAAGTATTTACATGTTACTTGTATCCATGGATTTGAGTATGAATCGGCGTTGTCATTCAAAGTTAGCTCCTCAATTCTATGTTCTAGTTGTCTTTGGGACCCTGTACAATGAAGGGATTCTCTAATTGATTTGACATTAAATGTGGTATTTATGAAAATATTCTGTTCTCATTTTCACAAGAATGATCCTCATGGCCTCATTTTGTACATTTTCTATACTAATCAACGCACTGGTGGCAAAGATCTGGCTCAATGTCATTTATATGAAACCTTGGCAGAAAGATTGTCTTTGGGGTAAGTACCTTGTTTTTTTCAGTCAAGATTAAGCCACATTCAGTAGCCCTTGCTGAAAGTATACCTAGAATCTCTTGCATTCTCTCCTCGGGTGAGGATCTAATGCAAATATTATCGGCATAGCAAATAATGGAGTCATTGCCCTCAAGTGGTATACATTAGGATATTAAATAGCGTGGGACTAAGTACGCCTCCCCGAAGTGTGCCTAGTCGAAATACTTTCGTATGAGTGCTCTTAGTGCCCCTGAAGAGAACCTAAGCCAATCGATTCGATATATACATTTGAAACAATGTTAACAGTTTTCCCCTGAAAATCAGTTCAGTTGCTCAAGAATAATTTCTCTGTTTGTAATATCAGAGGCAGATTGAAGTTTGAATTTGTTAAGTACTCTGCAAAATAGTACTGGCTGCTACACCCTGGAAAAAATCCATACAGTCTGGGGGATAACTGGATTTGTCAGTATTGGGTTTGGGTATAGGAATGATTAAGCTTTTCAGGAGCTTGTGAGGATTACTTGTGATAGGCTGAGTCTGTATAGGTATAAAAGTAGGTTGTCTGGCACCTGAGCAATGAGGCGAAGGACGCTGTAAGTAATGCTATCCTCGCCAGGGGCGGTTGCCTTCCCTTTCAGAAGGGCATTATTCAATTTCCATTCGGTTATTTCGGCAAAGTCGAAGGAGTCAATAGCAGCACAGGCTACTGCCATATTAAAATTTCTATCTATTTTCGACCTGAGTTGGTCTTTTATCCCTTGTGGAAGTGAGTTTAACTGAGAATTTCCGGCCCACTACTCTAGCTGCATATTGGCCTGTTTTTGTGGACTGTACTCTACTCAAAAATGAAAACCTACAGTCACACCAAGAAATGAATGTTGAAGTAGATGTAGCAATAGGCACTTAAAGGATAATGTCAAGGCATGCAAACCACGGCAAGTTGTGTAGCCAAGTCAGCAGCAAAAGCCAATGCTACGTCACAAGAATCCTAGACCTTGTGAGTCAGTATCAGATGATCTCTTCAGCGTTGCTGGGAAACATTTCATGGTTTATGTTGATAGATTGTCTGAATAGCCAGTCATAGCTCACTATGCCAATGATACGACAACGTCCTTTACGATCCAGTTCTTCAGGATGATCTTCAGAGACTGCGGTGCTCTTGTACAACTTCGAACGGATGCAGACCCGCAATTCGCTAGCCGTGAATTTCAAGATATCCTTCGGCCATCCTTTAAGATTATGTGTCCCTACCCATGCCAAATTGTTTGCGCTCGAGTGGCAAATAAAAGCAGAAAACTGAACGATGTGCAGTGGCTCGTCAAGAAACTGCCACGGTACAGTACAACTCTCACACACAAAAGATCCCATCCCTGGAGTTAGATTCACACGTGTACAAGACTAGAGTAAGAGTTCTTTGGCGGAATCGACGTTTCCTAAGAAACCCCTGAAATCTGATCCTATGGTGGATGTACAACCAGAGAATAACAATCCAAAGCCAACATCCAAAGATGTGTCAACCACTTACAATTCTCCGACCCCAAGGCGACATCGCAGAACGCAGTAAGATGGTTCAAGACGACGATCTCAGCGAATCGCACAGCGTTCAAAACGACTTTTGTGAATGTGTAAAGGGGGGATGTGATATGCATATGTCCCCTGTAAGTATATGAAACAGTTAGCTGCCGAGCCACCAAACCCAGTAAACAGATATGTATAAATATATCCATATAAGTGCATATATTATTGTAAGAAATATGTATTATCTGTTGATAGAAAAGTGGGCTTGGTTAGGGCCAATGTAATTAGCTGGTCTCATTATTTATTTCAACTAGAGTTCTCCATGAATATATTTCATTGAAGAAGTTCACACTTGAATATTCATTCCATTATGCACAATACAAAGCAAGTTCGTTTATATCAAAGTTGAATATAAACGAATGCTGTAGACTGTTAGCTGAATGTTGATAGCACCAATAATAAGTTATTTTCTTATTTACTTGAGGGCTCACATCATCTCTCTCTCTCTCTCTTTCTCTGACACTCTCTCTCTAACACATTCTCTATCTCTCTCT